AGAGTTTAATTCACCTGAAATGTTAGTACACATAAGAACAAATACAAATCTTCTAAAATTGTTAAGAGATAACTACATATTTGAATAATAATATTTGGAATCATCAAAACTATACAAGTTGCAAGAATGTAAAACATGCAAATAACAACTATCTTAACACCTCTAACTTCCTATGTAAGGTAGGCATATGTATCAACGGTTCTAATCCTTACATCTGTCATTGATTTTATGACGGAAGCTTTTTCCTCAACAACATTCCTACATGATCTTAGAAGATGTCGGTCGGCTGGGCTAGCTAATTCTTGATTGTGGGATTCAATAAATCTTTTGACATGACAATAACCATCCTCATATACTGCAAACCTCACCATGCATAGACAACCAATTCTAACATCTAGTATAGTGAACTCTTTCTTGAATTAAGATCAATACTTTTGTTGAAACCAGCTTTTGAACAGACAAAGTCCTTCAATTTTATCTTCCTAGAATTTGGCCAAAAACTGTGATGATCCTTCCTGACGCTAAAGCCATTATCATGGGCATAAGTACAAAAACATTCATATACTTCTTTCTCATCTTCATAAATAGACTGAAATAATAAAAAAAAACTAAAGTACAATAAAAGCGCAAGTAAAGAGGAACAAAAGCGCAAGTAAAGCGCAGGTAAAGCGCAACAAAAACACAAGTAAAGAGCAAGTAAAGCGCAAGTAAAGCACAAGAAAAGCGCAAGTAAAGCGCAAGTAAACCTCTGGATTTGTTTATCATCTTTTGTTTACCCATCCTTAAAATAATGATGTTCTTCATCCTAAAAATAATAATGAAAGCTAAACAATAACATTAGAGTTTTTTTTACTTTTCTGCCAAAATAAAAAATATTAATGCTAATTGCAACATCTAAGATCCTAAGACTCTAATGAGCTGAAACCTATGCCTTTTTTCTACGGCGATGAGATTGAAACTGTTTACAACTTTCTAGCTGATTTTTCCAACTTGCGATGAGATTGAAACTTACCGATATGTTGAAACCAGAGGAATTTCCGGCTAAGTTAACTTCCGATTAATGCACCACCCCTTTTGATTCATGCATCATTTCCGATTCATGCACTCCCTCTTCCACCTCCCTCTTTGCTGAGCATTCCATCTCTTTTCTTCAATTTTCTAGCTCATTTTTTCTTCCAAAGCAATAAATATTTAGATCTTTTGCGGGTTTCAAAAATAGGGCGACAAACGCTTAAAATGAAAATAAAGTGGACTGGGTCGGGTCGATCGGACTGACAAGACATAAAGCAAAGAGATTATAATAAAAAAATCGCAGCTAGGTGTCTGCTTTCTATTGGCGTCCAAACACAGAGATAGGTTCAATCACCTGACCTAATAATTTGCCATTCGTCTCAGCACCTCCCACGTTTTGTTTTTTAGTTTATATGATCAAATTTGAGGTGGGGTCATGGAGAGAGAGAAAGTGAGAAGACTTGAATGAAGATCCGTGCCCTTAGGGCTCTCATGTTAAATCTGCCCTTGATTTGAATTCAACAATATATACATTCACCCTTATATTATATATACACGCACATAATATATACACATTATTTTACAAAGGATTAAAAATACATTCATGACACTCAAATATTGGATATTTATAAACTAGCATCCTCAATTTTAAAATTTTATATAAATATAAAAAATTATAATAAAATTATAAACTCATACTATTTTTATTTATATTTAATTAATATGATTTAATTGTGACATAAATAAATACAAGTTTTTTATAATTTAAAAAATATAATATGAATATGATGATTATTATTATTATTATTGAGTATTTATATCAATTAAATTAAATTTATATACACATCACATACTTATATTTGAACTTAATATTTTTTAATTAATAATCAATATTTCAACCAACAAATGAAGGGAGCTAAGTTAATATTAATATTAATATTATTTTTAAATTAAAGGAGCACTAATACGTAGCTTTTACCTGAGAGTTCAGCGGATGACTCCGCCGCTCACTTGTGAGCCATTGACGCACAAATTCAGGGAGAGAGTTGTCTCCACGCAACTCTTTCTGTGGCCGGGAAGACCAGTCCCGGCCGCTTTTCTGTGCCTGGACGAAAGCTACTTATCTTCGAGGTGACAAGTCTTATCCGGCGAAATTGGCCGGCTTCGTAGCAGTTCCTCGGAACCTAACTTACTCTCCATGGCCGCCGCCACCGCCACCGCTCTTTCCCTTTCATCCTCCTCCTCTTCTCCCAATTTTCTCCAACTCCGAAGGTTTCCACGACCGGAAAAAGGTTCGAGACTACCGCGTGCTGCTTTAGTCGAGGCAAAGCCCTTACCGGCCTTACGAGGCGGCGCCTCCGGCGGAAGCAGCGTCAATGGAGAATACGCGGTACAGGTAGTGGATGCGGCGGCAGCAGAGCTGTCCATCCGATCTCGGATGGATCGAGCCGGAGATATCCAGGCGGAGGCGAGGGCAATGACCCGCGCCGTTAACACCTCCGTCTACAGTCCCGAGCTAGTTGCTGCCCGATACGGCTCTCGCCCGATTAAGGTTCACTCTCTCTCTTCTCTGCACTGCTCTGCTCCTCTCTCTCTGTCTCTCTCTCTGTCCCCTCCTTTTCTCACTATATATGTTTCTATGCTACCAGGTGTTGCAGCGCACTGTCGAGATATTGACAGCTGTTGGAAGTTTCGCCTTCAAGTTGTTCCTTGACAAGAGGCTGGGATTGCTTGACCAAAGGAAGCGGATGAGGGCTGCGGAGCTGCGGAGGATTTTCACGAGACTGGGTCCAACCTTTGTCAAGATAGGGCAGGGCCTCTCTACACGGCCTGATATCTGCCCTCCTGAATTCCTGGAAGAGCTCTCGGAGTTGCAGGTATACTGGGAATTTTTACGTCACTCTACTTGTTGATTAGAAGATGAAATTTTCAGTTTTCAGTTTTCATAATGGAAGTTCACATGCTAGGACCTCCAAATTTTCTGCAAATGTGGTGATGTTAAGTGAGATAAAATCACTTTCTTAAAGAAATTGCTCGCCAAAAATTGTTCTAGCTTGATTTACTTGCATAGGCCTTTTTGGTCAAGTATTCTTACCTGTGTTTTTGTTGCGTGCTGCAAGCAATTCTGATGTTGGTTCCTGTTAGTGTTACATGAATGAAGAACAATGACTTTGATGATAGATATTGACACCGTATGTAGGAAGTACATATGGTGATAGATTTGTGATTAGCCATGAGCAATAATGTCTTTGAGGCATGGTCTGCGATTTCTGACGATGGATTGAGGAGTGTTAACATTATATGTGGTAGGTAGGTGCAGACGGCGTCTCCTCTTTGCATCCTAAGCATGAACAACTATATCTCTGAATGTTGTGCTTGACAGCGGTTGATGTTAGTTTAATGATAGACATCGACACTAGTTGCAATGGGAAGGTACAAACTGATGATTCTACAAGTGGTGATAGTGGAGAACTTGATAATGATAATAATGACATACCTAAGGGTGGTGTTTGCGACAAGATTGTAGGTGACACCAATGATAGACTTGAAGGAAAAAAGATATAATAATTTAAGAGTAAAAGCTCAAAGTAGTCCCCTGACTATCAATAAATGTCCAATTTAGTCTCAGAGTATTACATTGCCCCATTTAATCCTCAGACTATTGAAAATTGAGCCAATTTGGTCCATCGCCTTTTAAATTACAGAGAGAGCCGGACAGGTTTGTTTCTTGGGGGCATTTAAGTAAAATACCTATGCCTTGCTTCACGCTATATGTAGTGCACGCACTCTGCTAGACACGACGCCTAGAGACCATTCTACATGGGAGAAGCGAACAACCCACATAACGTGAGTGAGGCAGCCAACACGAACGAGGCAGCGACGCGGGCGAACAAGCGATGCTAGCGACAGGTTGGGCGAAACACGCTGTAACATCCTTCGACGCATGCGAGACTGGTCGCGGACGGAGCTAGGTTTTACTATTTCTCTTGGCCTCAATTTTTTGCATCTAGTTTTATTAGGGCGTTGTTGCAGTTCCGAAGCTAGTGATTGAAATTTTTTTGTACTTATCATAAATTAACCCGAGCCTTTCTTGGTGCTCTGTAAGCATAATATAATGGCATACACCCTATTTTAGTGGTAGTTTATTCTTGTGGAACAAAGATTTGGGGGCATTAGGGGCATGCAATATTGACATTTAGGCAACTCTAAGGATGAGTATCCCGATGGTTAATTGGGTTGGAATCATAGATCTATTTGAATTGAGATTTGATGTCAATAAGATCCTTGTTTGAGCAAATATAATAGAATTTTAATTATTCTTGTGAATTATGATCTTAAACATTTTTATTAAGTGTTATAATGTATAAAGCTTGATATTGTTGGCGTTGTTCTTGTTAAAAAATTTAAGAGGAAAGAGTTTAAAAATGTTCATGGTTACTACATGGTTCATCTCCAATAAGGGACCTTATTGAAGTATTTGTTTTAGTAGGTCAACCCAACTTCAGAGAGAATCCAAAAATAATAGCTTAGCAACTGGTTTCCTTTGATAATGCTGTGAGATCATCTAGTTTTTATTCTGTCTTTTTTTTTTTTTTGGCTAGTGGAGGCTATTTATTTTTTTTATTACCTATATTTGTTGTAATTTAGTTGGAATTATTGAGGGTGATAAGAGACGTGTCATATACAACAAATGCAAATATTTTTGGAGAGCAAGTTCTTCTATTGGTTTATCCCATTGATAAGCACAAAAAATAATTTGAAGTTAAGTTTAATTATGATTGTATTTTTCAAATTGTGCATGTATGTAACAGTAAAACAGGAAAAGATGAACTACATGCATTAGTTTCTGAGTGGATGGATGAATCCATTTTCTTACAACTTTGTAGTGATTTGTCCCAACCAACCACTATTAATCTGTCATGTGGTAATGTCGAGGATGCAGATGCACCTGAGAGTGGTTATTATAGTGATGACATGGACGAAGACGATGACGAGGATGAGGATTTCAACTTAGCTGATGCCAATGAGCAATTTGCAGACATTGATTATGAGATGCATGAGGATAATGAGTTATTTGAAAGTAATGTTGATCCTTATGTTGAATTTGTGGGCACCACAAATAAGGTAAAGGAAAAAATTGGGGTTTCAAATATCGGGTTTGAGGATAAATTAGAAAGAAATAACTTGGAAGTTGATTGTATGGATTCCAATGATGATGCAAGTGTTCATAGTGGCGAGGAAAATGATCACAAGATAGCCATTTTCAATATCAAAGCATTGGAAGGATTGTGAAAAACTGGATTTTCCTTGTCAGACCTAAGTCTTCCTTCTCTCTTCCCTTCTTCCCCTTCTTTTGTTCTTCTACCTTTCCCCTTCTTCTTCTACCTTTCCCCTTCTTCTTCTTATTCTACCAAGTAGGTCTGCCATCTTCGAATTGCCTCCCAAGGCTTGGGTGGGGCCCACTAGGGAATTCAATTAGGAAGGAGGGGGCGGCTAGGGCTTGGGAGGATTTTGGCTTATTTGGTTTAATTGAGTGCTTTAAGTAGAAAGAAAATATTAGGGTCATGGTTATCGATTTATTGTGGATATTTTTGTGTTCTTGGAGTTTTATGTTCTCGGAGTTTAACACTACCGTTGCCAGGTCCTAAGTCCTGGATGAGAAAAGTGGACGTTGCATTAGGTAGTCGACAACTAGCTTAAAACTTGTTGAATAATCATGACAAGAATCATTTAAAAAATTGTGTTAATGCTAGGGCATCCCCTGGAAGCGATGCGCTGTATGGCCTGAATATAACGACAAGTGTGCAAGGACCGTTGCACCGGCGCCCGGGTGCAGTGTTAAATAGGCAAGGGTTCCCACATCAAGGATGGATGTGGGCAAAAAAGCTAGTCCATGAAACTAAAATTAGGATAGGAATTGGGAGTACAGACTCCCTTACAGGAAAATTATTGAAATTAATAAATATTATAATTCATAGGAAGATAAATATTTTGTGCATTAAGGAAAATAAATAGATTGGAGACAAGGCTAAGAAGATTGATAGTTTATGATATAAACTATAATATTTAGGTAGTAGTCGTGCTAGAAATGGTGTATGTGTGATTATAAATAAGAGTTTGAAGGATAATGTTATAAAAATTAACATAATTGAAGATAAAATTATAACTTTAAAGATTATTGTTGATGCTAAGATTGTTAATATTATAAGTGCTTATGTTTTTCAAGGAGGTTTGTATATGAGTTCAAAACTAAAATTTTGTAATGACTTAGAAGAATTAATACAAAAGATATATCTTGAAAAAGAGTTTTTATTGGAGGAGATTTAAGTGGACATGTTGGTAGAGAGGTAGATGATTTTAAAATCATTCATGATGGCCATGAGTTTGGAACGACAAATAAAGGTGATAAGATCATATTATATTTTTCTTTAGCTTATGTTTTTATAATTGCCAATACCTTATTTAAGAAAAGAGATGAACATCTTATCATTTATTAAAATAGATATAAGAAAATGCAGATTGATTATTTTCTTATAAAAAATTAGATCGTTTAGATTACAAAGGTTATAAAGTTATGCCAAGTGAAAATTTATGTACCCAACATCGATTATTAGTTTTGGACTTTAAGATAATGGGGCAAACAAATAAAAAATAAAGTAAAATAATTTTCTAGAATTAGATGGGACATTTAAAGAATATTAATAAAAATATTTTTGAGAGTAAGATTTTAATTCTTAAGATTTTTTCTGTAAATGAGGATGCTAATGTTATGTGAGAAAAAGTGGCTAGAGATATTAAGATTATTGCAAAAGACGTGCTTGAAGTTTCGAAGGGAAACAGCTCCTAATAGTAAAAATAGTTTGTGGTGAAATCCAAATGTACAAAAAAAGATAAAAACTAAGAATATTTGTTATAAAAACTAGTTTAGATATAAAAATTTTGATAATTAGGAAAGCTATAAATAAGCTCGTAAGGAATCTAAGAAAGCTATTTGCGATGTAAATACCTTAGCTTTTAATGATTTATATAATATATTAGATATTAAGGAGGGAGAAATATATATATATATATGATAAAAACTAAGAATATTTGTTATAAAAACTAGTTTAGATATAAAAATTTTGATAATTAGGAAAGCTATAAATAAGCTCGTAAGGAATCTAAGAAAGCTATTTGCGATGTAAATACCTTAGCTTTTAATGATTTATATAATATATTAGATATTAAGGAGGGAGAAATATATATATATATATATATATATATATATATATATATATATATAAGTAAATGAATTAATAGTTTTTTGCCAATTTCTTGTAGTATATTATGACTTTTTTTCCACTTTTTTATCCTCTAAATTTTTAGATTATGAGCAAATAAAAATTTCAAAATTTGTTTTGACCTCCTCCCAAAGCATCTTCATAGAAAGAAATATGACTACTTCCATAAGATGATGGTCTAAGAAAATTACATGGAGTTACCAATGTTGATGTTGTTGTCTCTACCATGAATATTGATGTCAAATGGAATGTTACCCTGAATGAATAACATATATTTTATAAAAAGATAAATATCTTTAAGGTGAATATGAAAGGGGGTAAAAGCTAGATCAACTAGTAGGTTATTTGATTGAGCTATCAACCATAGTGACTTCTCTTTCTTTATGCTACCAAATGATTATGATGGGTTGAGAGAGGCACACAGAAAAAAATATCAAAGAGTGAAGAACTTAAAGCACATAAAGCTAATAACATATCTCTTGAGGAGGGGGATAAGATATTATAAGCTCAACTGTTAAAGGAGACAGAGGAGGAATAACATATTCAATTATAATAAAGGACTTCAAGAAATACTTGGCATATAGCATGATACAAGATCACATCCAAGAGGCTTGCGGCCATATATTTAACATAGAAGTAAATAACATAGAGCATTAATTCCTTCAAGAAGGTTTCATTTACATATTTTTTAGGAGACTTTATCTAGTTATCATAAGATTTTAGTCATGTTAAAAGAATATCTCCATCCTAGGCATTTGAAGGCTCCTTCCTTGATATATATGCAAGATGATAAAGAAAATGTGTCATATCTTCTTGTATGTGCCATGTATTTGGTTTATGCAAAAAAAAAAAAAAAATCAAGCACTAGAGAAAAATTAATAAAAACAATACTTTGAAAATTTTCCTTAGAATGGTTACCTAAGATAGATTGATATATAAAAAAATTATACTATACAATGATGTATCATCTTGTTCTATGTTCATGACAAATTAAAAATTTAGCAAGTTCAAATTAAGTGCTATGGAGAGTTCTTGAAAAGAAAGGAGTCAATAATGTTTATATTCAAATCATTAAAGATATGTATGCAGGAGTTATTACTTGTGTTCAAACACAATGTGGTTTGACCAAGTATTTTCTTATTTCGGTTGGATTACATCAAGGATCAACCTTAAGTTCATATCTTTTTTGCTTTAGTCATGGATGTTCTCTCTAGACATTTGCAAGAGGATGTACCTTGGTGTATGCTTTTTGCTGATATTCTTCTTATTGATAAGACTTGAGAGGGAGTTGAAGGTATACTTGAATTATGGATGTCAACCTTAGAGTCTAAAGGTTTCGCTTGAGTAGATCTAAAACTGAATATATGGAGTGTAATTTTAGTAGCAATAAACCTAGTGAGGGGATTGTGACTTTGGGTGATCAAGTCATTAATAAGAGTACACATTTTAGATATCTTGGATCTATTGTTCAGAGTGATGGTGAAATAGATGGGGATATTATCAGCAGAATTCAAGTTGGATGGTTGAAGTGGAGGAATGCATTGGGCTTGTTGTGCGATAGATGGTGGTGAGACTTGCAATGCTTTATGGTGCCGAATGTTGGTCATTAAAAGAGAAGCATAATACAAAGTTAAGTGTTGTAGAGATGATGATGCTTAGGTGGATGAGTGGCTTTACCCTTATAGATAGGATATGAAATGAGCATATACATGAAAAGGTTGGAGTAGCTCCAGTGGAAGATAAGATTAGAGAGAGTCGCCTTAGACGGTTTGGTCACATTAAACGGAGGCCTTTCGATGCCCTGATTAGGAAAGTTGAGGTATTAGATTTGACTTATGTTAAGAAAGATAGAGGTAGACCTAAAAATACTTGGTTAAGAAATATTAGAAATGATTTTTCTTTATTAGATTTAAATTAGAATTTGACTTTTAACATGACACAATAGAAAAAAAAGGATTCATGTAGCCGACCCCACGTAGTGAGATAAAGGCTTGATGTTGTTGTTGTTCATGGAGTTTGGCATCTTAGGCTCTAGCGGCGTCTAGGGATTGGGAGAGGTAGATCCTCCTCTCGAATTGAGAATCAACTGTATCTTAGTATTTTTCTTCCGTTATCTTTGATTAATGCAATAAAATTACTGTTTTTTGGTTTTCCCTCGGAGTTTGAGGAGATTTCTCGTTGTTTTTTCGAGGATAGATAGGGTTTACTTGAGATCTTTAAGTGTTTCCTATAATATTGCTTATATTCATGTCATTAAAGATATGTATGTAGGAGCTCTTACTTGTGTTCAAACACAAGGTAGTTGACTAAGTATCTTTCTATTTCAATTGGATTACATCAACGATCAACTTTAATCCCATATCTTTTTTTCTTTAGTAATGGATGTTCTTACCAGACACTTATAAGAGGATGTTTCTTGGTGTATGCTTTTTGCTGATGATATTCTTCTTGTTGATAAGACTTGAAAGGGAGTTGAAAGAAAACTTGAATTATGGAGATTAACCTTAGAGTCTAAATGTTTTCATTTGAGTAGATCTAAAGTCAAATACATGTAGTATAATTTTAGTAATAATAGATCTAGTAAGGGGGATTGTGACTTTGGGAGATTAAGTCATTAATAAGAGTCCACGTTTTAGATATCTTGGATGTACTGTTCGATGTGATGGTGAAATAAATGGGGATATTATTAGTAGAATTCAAGTTGGATGGTTGAAGTGGAGGAATGCATCGGGCCTATATTGTGTAATAGAAAAGTACCCCTCAAACTTAAAGGAAAATTCTATAAGATGGTGGTGAGACTTGCAATGCTTTATGGTGTAGAATGTTGGCTATTAAAATAGAAGCATAAAATTAAGTGTTACACTGATGAGAATGCTCAGCTGGATGAGTGAATTTACTCTTATAGATAGAATACGAAAGGAATGTTTGTGAAAGGGTTGGAGTAGCTCCAGTGGCAGATAAGATTATAGAGAGTTGCCTTAGATGGTTTGGACACATAAAACGTCGTTCTTCTGGTGACCATGGTGACCCGATTAGGAGAGTAGATGTATTGAATTTGACCTATGTTAAGAAAGATAGAGGTAGACCTAAAAAGACTTGACTAGAAAATATTAGAAATGGCTTTTTTATTAAATTTAAATAAGATTTTGACTCTTAAAAATACACAATGAAGAAGAATAATTCATGTAGCTGACCCCACATAGTTGGATAAAGGCTGGATGTTGTTGTTGTACTGTATACAAGAAACTTGACTCTCAGTAGGATATAGTGGAGAAAAAAAGGATTCATGTAGCCGACCTCATGTAGTGATATAAAGGCTTATTGTTGTTGTTGTTGTTATTGTTTACAAGCTACCAAGATTTTTACACTTAAAAACATATTTTTGATTAGAAAGCAAAACATATGCTCTTGAAATGTCCCATGTTGGAAGATAAATTTCTCATACAAGATACTGTCTACAAGATACTTGACTCTCAATAGGATATAGGGGAGAAAAAGGATTCATGTAGCCGACCCCATATAGTGATATAAAGGCTTGTTGTTGTTGTTACTGTTTACAAGCTACCAAGATTTTTACACTTAAAAACATATTTTTGATTAGAAAGCAAAACATATGCTCTTGAAATATTCCATTTTGGAAGATAAACTTCTCATAAAGGGAAGATTAATTTCTTCTTTCTAAAAGGATCCTGATTATCTCTATGTAACTCTTATACAATAACAACAACGACAATATCAAGCCTTTGTCACACTATGTAACTCCTATAGAGGAATATAATTTCTTTAACTTCTTGCAAGTGCTTAACAAATTGTTACATCTTTGGAGCAGGATGCCCTACCCACTTTTCCAGACGCTGAGGCATTTGCATGCATTGAAAGAGAGTTGGGTTTACCTATTGATTCCATCTATTCAGCATTATCTCCATCTCCAATAGCTGCTGCTAGTTTAGGCCAAGTTTACAAAGCCCAACTGAGGCTGTCTGGAGAGCTTGTTGCCGTGAAGGTACAGCGACCTGGTATTGAAGAAGCCATTGGCCTGGATTTTTACCTTTTAAGAGGTTTGGGCTTTCTCATTAATAAGTATGTGAACTTCATCTCAAGCGATGTTGTGGCTCTAATTGATGAGTTTGCTCGAAGAGTATACCAGGAGCTCAACTATGTGCAGGTACTAGAATCACTTACGTCTGAAATATTTCCAATTTAAAATGTTTGTTAGTCTGTTTTTAATTTCTGAAATCTTTCGCTATTTGGTTTAGTGAAACATTACTTCTTTAATTTTTCAGGCTTTTATTTATAAGTTCCTGTGCAGGAAGGAAAAAATGCACGGAGATTTAAAAAGCTATATGCCGACAAGGCAGATGTATTAGTACCGGATATCTTTTGGGATTACACGAGTGCGAAGGTTTTGACAATGGAATGGGTGGATGGTGTTAAACTGAACCAACAGGAAGCCATTGAGAAACAGGGTTTGAAGCTATTGGAGTTGGTGAATATAGGTATTCAATGTAGCCTAAGGCAACTGCTTGAATATGGCTACTTCCATGCGGATCCCCATCCCGGCAATCTTCTAGCAACTCCTGAGGGAAAACTTGCTTTCCTTGATTTTGGGATGATGAGTGAAACACCAGAACAAGCAAGATTTGCTATCATTGGTCATGTTGTTCATTTGGTTAATCGAGACTATGAAGCCATGGCTCGAGATTACTATGATTTGGATTTTCTATCTCCTGATGTCGATGTTTCTCCCATTGTGCCAGCTCTTCGTAACTTTTTTGATGATGTTCTTAATGCTACCGTTAGTGAACTCAACTTCAAAACCATCGTGGATGGTTTGGGTACTGTTTTGTATGATTATCCGTTTAATGGTAAGTTTCTTTCCAATGCATTTTACATTAGATCTGTAATTGTTATTCTTGTTTTTCTGAGTCGTTGTTAGTAAAATCTGTTACATTTAACTTATAGTTCATTCTTTGATCATCTATTCTCTTAAATAATGACCTATGATTATGTTTGTTTTCCTCCTACAGTTCCAGCATACTATGCATTGATACTTAGATCACTTACGGTGCTTGAAGGTCTTGCTCTTTACGCTGATCCTAATTTTAAGGTCCTTGCTGCTTCGTATCCGTATTTTGCTAAACGGCTTCTCACCGATCCAAATCCTTATCTTAGAGATGCCCTAATTGAGTTGTTGTTCAAAGATGGAAGATTCAGGCAAGTAATAAAATTATCAAGTTATTGTGCCAAATTTATAATAATCACCTAGTCGGGTGCATATAGAGCTCCTGCCAACTGTAGCTCCTGATAAGAGTTTGATTTGTGCAAAAACTATTAGCCTTCATATATCTTAAGGGAGGTTTTTTTGAGCCATCTCCATAGGAGCATTATCTGGCAATCATTAAATGTATGAAAAAACAATTACTTCAGTTTAATTTTAGTCAGTCTTTCTTGTTTCCTTTTGGACCTACCTAAAACTATATGATCTTCAGTGGTCCTTAACAAGTGACATTTTGGGAATCATTAGGGGTGTACATTAATCAGACAAAACCTAAAAATTATGATTGCTTTGGTTCAGTTTTTAAAACAATCGATTTGAGAATGTTTGGCTTATTTTGGTTTATGACTTGAGATTGGTTTATTCTTCTACAAAATTTAACAGACCTGAACAATTGTCCAAATTTTGTAAAATCGGACCCAAATTTTGAATCTTTCACGAGATATTGGAATTTGGGTTGGTTTAGTTTGGAACTCAACTCCAATCCCAAATCGAGATTTATAAAAGTTCAGCTTTGGTGAAAATGAATTAAAAAAAGTAAAATTTGGTGAGTTTTGCTTGATTTTGTACTGGTTCTCAGTTTTTCAATTTCCAGACCGGCTAAATTGAAAGTGATAAATTTTATTAACTTGAACCGAGCCAATTGAATTCACAGCGCTAGCACCCTTATTAATAACCTATTTAAAATATTCAATTGTGTTTTATTCAACACTATCTCTTAGTTTGTCTTTAATGTATTAATGTCTTACATATAGGTGGAATAGGCTTGAAAATCTTCTTGTTCAAGGGCGCAAAGATAAGGATTTCACTGCTAAAGATGCTTTGCAGCCAGTCCTAAAGCTTCTATTAGATCCTGAAGGGGAAGAATTAAGAGTTTTGGTTGTCAAAGAGTCGGTTTATGTTACAGAAGCTGTTGTGTTTGGGTCGATGATAGATGCATTCAATTCAATTCCACAGCCTATGAGGAGTCTAATTTCCAATGGCAATGAAAGTGGGCCTCTGAATCTAAACAATGGTGAACGTGAAAGAATCCTTGAACTTCGAGATAGGGTTTTCAGAATATGGAGCCTCTTGAGATCCTCAGATAATTTTGATCCAACCCTTTTTGAACCAATTCTACAGGTATTTGCTATACTATACGGTTCTTCTATATTATCCTCAAATGCCTTCAAGTATTTCTACCAGTGTATATTCTCAACTTGCTTGAACTTATGTTTTCTCGGATATTTTGAAATTGTTCTTACTATTTAACTAATAGTTTTTCTTCTGTACATTACATATATTTATTACCTATTAAGTGGAATCCATTATTCTTGGGCTATCAAGGTGATGTGAATCCAGGAATCGAATCTTATGAAATTAAT